TACTTTCAGCTACAAAAGCCATTCTGGTATCAAAATGTTCAGGTTTTTCAGGACATTATGGCATGTATTCAAGTTTTTTACAACTTTCATACTTTTGAAAATAGTCTGCATTTATTTTGAAAATCTTGCCCTATTCATTTGAATGGGTACATTCTACTTCAGCATACCTTCAACTATATCAGGTATGAAAATCTTCAGCTCCTCAAGGACATTCATGCTTCTCTTCAGAATTTTACTAAACTTGATACCACTGAAATATTTAGCTTTATTTTGAAAATCTTGCCTTATTCAAATGAATGGGGAAATTCTACTTCAGCATACTTTCAGCTATCAAAATGTTGAACTCTTCAAGGACATTCATGCTTCTCTTCAGAATTTTTCTAAACTTCATACCTATATTTAGTTTTATTTTGAAAATCTGGCCCCATTCAAACGAATGGGGGACATTCTACTTCAGCATACTGTCAGCTTTTTCAGGTATCAAAATGTTCAGCTCTTCAATGACATTCATGCTTCTATTCATAATTTTTCTAAACTTCATACTTTCATATTATTTAGCTTTATTTTGAAAAATTTCTCCATTCACAAGTGAATGGGAAAATTCAACTTCAGCATACTTTCAGATATCAAAATGTTCAGTTCTTGAAGGACATTCATACTTCTATTCATATTTTTCCTAAACTTCATACTTTTGAAATATATAGCTTTATTTTGAAAGTTTTGCCCATTCAAATGAATGGAAAAATTCTACTTCAGCATACTTTCAGCTATTTCAGGTATCAAAATGTTCAGCTCTTCAATGACATTCATGCTTCTCTTACGGATTTTTGGAAACCTTATACCTTTGAAATATTTGAAAGTTTTGCTCAATTCAAATTAATGGGAAAATTGTACTTCAGCATGCTTTCAGCTCAGTAATCAAATACACCGTGTTGTTGCGGAGATATACACATTTTATTTCAGGGAGGCGCCGTCGAGTTAAATCCCCAAAACAGGCTGCGGGCTTAAAGAGTTAAGGTAGAAAAATGTTCAGCTCAAGGATATTCATGCTTCTATTAAGATTTTTTCTAAACATCACACTTTTAAAATATTTAGCTTTATCCTGAAAAGTTTACCCCTTTCAAATGAATGGGGAAATTCTACTTAACACTAGAACTGCCAACAGGTCATTTTGACGTCTCTTCACTATTAAAATGCATGTAACTTTGTTTGAGTAAAAACCCTATGTCTCCCAGTCAATGACCTTTCCTAAAAGTGTTGTTACACATCATCTTATGCATTTTGTGGATTCTGGAATAAAAGAGAGAGAAAAAAAGAGTGGTTTTACCTAGAACCGCCAAGAGGTCATTTTGACCTCCATTACTCCTAATGCAAAAATGGTAAATAGACTGCACTTGTATAGCCATATAAATTATTTATCCAGTCAGATACACAGCTCAAAACACTTTACAGTAATGCCTCACATTCCCCCATTCTTACACACACACATACTTTCCAAAATTAACAATAGGCGTTGCTAGGCAACCAAGATACAAAGTAAGTATAATGTAGTGATGAACCTGATGCGGCCTTACCTAGGTAAGGGGAGAAACGTCACTACAGACAACTTTTTACATCACTCCCCCTTGTTCATAAACTCCTAGTAAGGAACACCAGCCTGGTAGGCACCGTGAACAAAAACAGACGTTCACTCCCACCTTCTGTGCATCAGAAAGCACTACTGCATGACTTCAAAGTGATGAAGACAATACTTACAATATACCAGGGCAAGGTGAACAAAAATGTGTGCATCCTCAGCACAATGCACCAGACGGTGGATGTGGAAAGTGACAGCCATACACAGTGCACTATTATAACAACCCCAAGGTGGGAGTGCACATCCTGGATAAAATGATCAGACAATACTCCACAAGAGCCGCCACCCACAGATGGCCAGTCGTCATCTTCTATAACATGTTGGACCTGGCTGGCATCAATGTATGCATTCTTTACCGGGGCTGCACAAAAGCCAAACTTGCTAGGCGCGACTTCCTTCTGCGATTGTGTAAGGAATTATGCAGCGACCACATGCAAATGAAAGAGGCAACAGAGCACTGTGCCACTGCCCCTTCAAACAGTGGTAGAGCAGCCTCAGGAGAGGCAAAGGCAGTGTACAGTCAAAATAGAAAGTCACTTTCAGCTTTTCCCGTTTAGGGGTCGCCACAGCAATTTGTCACACTGACAACTTGCATGTTGACATTTGACAAGTTTTACGCCGGATGCCCTTCCTGACGCAACCCTGATTTGAACTCGGGCCGCAGCGGCGAGAGTGTTGTGCCTTAACCACTAGCCTACCAGGGACGGCTAGTGTACAGTCAAAATGCACTGCAATAAAAACATAACTGTCAAATTGTGCGTCAAGTGCCGGCGACCTGTGTGTGGTCAGTGTACTGTAAAGGTCTTCAGTGTTTGTGCTGGTTGTGAGTAAGCTGTGTGGCAGAACTTGGAGCGGAATAGGCCTGTGGTTCCCAAACATTTTTGACCAAGGCTCTCTTTCTTTCTAAATATATCTGAATTCATGTTCATTTCTCATGAAAGCAATGGGCTGTTATTATTGTAATGTTCAGTGTTTATGAGCAATATTAATGTTTTTATCTGTTTGACCAATTTCTCATATTTTGTTACATGTATTTTTCCACTAGTAGTTTAACTGAAGTGAATTTATATTTTTATATTGCTAAAATAAAAAATAAAATTCTGATGTTTTATCATTTCACCATTTTTACATGCTATTTTGAAAAAATAACCAAACATTCCTGTAATAGACTTCTAATTTGCAATTATAAAGCCTGAAGTGGTGCGAGGTCAAAATGACCTCCTGGCGGTTCTAGGAGGTACTGCATTGTTGGTGGTTCTAGTGTTAAGCTTAATTTCAGGTATTTCAGGTATCAAAATGTTCAAGTCTCCCAGGACATTCAGTCTTCGACTCAGAATTTTTATACACTTCACACTTCTGAAATATTTAGCTTTATTTTGAAAATTTCCCTCATTCAAATTAATGGGAAATTTGTACTTCAGC